TTTATGAATGAGTTTTTAAACCGGTTGATCAAGATTGATCCAGCCATCTTGCACTTTATTTCACTGTACGCAGAGGATGGCAGTGATGGCCATCTCGTTCTTTTTCATCTGGGCATTCAGTAGGTTTCAGGGTTTCAGATCATATATTATTTTTAGGACACAAGTACTTGGATGAGCGGAAATCATATGATCTGTAACTCTTTTAAAAATAAATATGGTGAGACTCACTCAAGACGTGGGTAACAGAACAAACTTAAATACCAACCACTGCCTGGCCCCAATTTATACTGTAAACAGCAGATTCTAAATAAGATGCGCCAGTGTTATCCACAGTACGCTAAGCTAACTTAGATAGATACAATGAAACATGCAAATGTCTTTCCAGTAGCAGAAACACCAGTCTTCGATAAAGCCCACTCACGCCACCACAATAAGCCAGACCCGTATCTTCAAGACTGTTGATGGAGCGTTAGCATCCAACTGCAAACCAGACAGGCCTGGAACTGTAACCCTCAGCGAAGAATCGGTCAAGAGGGCTGTTTCAAGCCATAACCTGGAATTTAGGGTAACTGAAATAAATAAAAAAATAGCGTAAAAATAAAACAACTACAGCGCTATTTACTTAACTGAACAAAAAACATTGAACAAGGGTGGCGCTGAGCAAAATATTCGCCCAAAGAAGAATTGAAAAAATTATATTACAGGCCCAAAACGAGCCGACACCACTGAAATGACTTGAGACATGCCCAATCAGGCTCGAAAATAAGCTAAAGCAGGCTCACACAGAAATGCCAAATCAGACTCACAACTCAACCCAAAGCAGGCTCACAGATATGCCAAACCAGGCTCAAGATTATGCCAAATCAGGCTAGGGCTAAAAAATAAGCCAAATCAGGCTCACATGCCGCACAAATGTGCCAAACCGGGCTCAAATCGGGCGACCACTACGAGACCCACTGGAAAGAAAATGCAGTTATCCTTAGCACTCAGTCTCGGACAAAGGCATCGGACACACCTACAGCGAGGAGAAGCAAACTAGGAGTCAAAACGCGGAAGCTGAACGCTCTATAACAGGATGTGAAACGGTTAAGATTCGTTCGAGGACCCCATTTGGCTTCAACGACTCGAAACACATAGGGATTTACTGGTGAATCATCCTCCTCAAAGAAACGGGGCAAAAGATCAGCCTGCCCGTTGAGCGATCTAGGAATCCACTGCGCTTCCAAGGCAATACCATTCGCATTCGAATACGTGACGAATGAACAAGACACTTATATAACTGTATGCAAAATACTTAACACCAAGAATACCGAAACACAAACAGACAAGATAATACACGTAATTAACCATATTAGAACGTGCAGAAGACAAATCATCTGCTAAAAAGCGTACCGTAGATATTTTTGCATTCTCAAAATATTGACGCAATCACTGGAACCCTGGGGTTAAATAGATTCGATATTGCATACACTTTGTTGTATGTATTTAATTGATAGATTTTTGCAGTTGTTAAGATGTTAAGTCGCGTTGCACCTTATAAATACTTGAGATATCAATGATTTTTAACCTTCAACTACTAGAAGCAACTTCACCTACTCGTCTGACTTTGCGTATGTGTCATCGGGGATGTGTTTATAAGCGTAGCCTTGTACTTTACTGTCTCGCACTCTACTTGCAGCACTTCATCGGCCAATGAAAATTGCTAGTCTAAAAATTGAACTAATCTATTTATTTTCGAAGTTCTCTAGTATGGGAAATGTGTAATATTTTTCATACTGACGTCTTTAATTTATTGATGTTTCCTTGATGTCGTACGTAGATTTGCAAGGTCTCGATATTACCAGTGATTGTGGAAGATTGCTTGAAATTGCAGCATTATTGCCTAGACATCATTGGAAATTTTCACTTTAGTTTACAAACTGTAACGATTGAAATATAATCTTTTTCCAGTTTAAGTTAAGTCTGACTATTCTATGTACCATAAGGCAGTCAGTAATTACTGTGTAACCTAAATATGCCTGCACACTGGCTCCTTAAGAATTTATCTCCTCCTCATTTCTTATCTTATCTCCAAACAACCTCGAGTTAACACTTTAAGAGTGTCTTGTTTTTCTTTTACACCGGGGTTACATTGTCTTAATTAAGCTAGCAACTTTTTGTCTTAAACAAGTTTTAACCCCAACCATATGCATGGCCCCATTCCATCCATCATAAATATTACATTAACAAGTCACTGAGTTTTGTTTTAAAAAATGGTTTTATTTACTTATAATAAATATCCTCACAGAATGATATCCAGAACTTTGGTAAAATTACAAGATGTAAATAACTGAATGAAAAATCGCTGTTTTGCATTTTATTCAGTGACAATATCAATACTTAGGACGTCCTGTGTAGAAAGGCACTCTATAAAGCTCTCGAAAAGCTGCATTGTGTTCAAGAGTGTACGTCCTGTTTTTCAATAAAAAGGATTTAAGTCGTTTATACACATATGATTAGTTTAAACAATTTTCTTACGAAAATATCGAACATGAGGCAGTATTTCAAGACAATATCACTTGCTCAGTGTTTGATCATGTGATGAAACAATGTTTCGAATGCCTGATATATTGTTTCAAAGGAGCTGTGTCGCAAAATGTTTCAGACTCTCTAAGCTTTCTCTGGTAAACCGTGGAAGACATTGCCAAACAGAGTAAGAAACTGACATGAAACGATAAACTGACGTCTCCCTTTGCACCACTAAGTTGCTGCTACTATTGGGATGATCATCCATCAGTACGGTTGGTTACGCAGTCTCAGTGATGAGTCAGATTTCATTTGTATATTGGACTAGCCCATACTAATTCTGTGCACGATATAAAAGCGGCCAAAACAATTTAAGGCAAGTAGTTCGGCTTGAGACGGTCGAGTAGTTGGAGGGTCTGAATTGAGGTCGATCCTAGTTTAAGAACGATGGCAGCAACCAATAGTGCTTTCGAAGAAACCAGAGATGAAGATCTTTATAATCACTTAGAGTTGTTCAATATGCCGTCTTCATCAATCGAAGCTCCAGCAGCAAATGATTACCAAGATTGCAGAGAGCAACAACCGACAGGAAATATCGGGAAAGGTCGGCGTATGTTCAGTGATTACAGAACAGAACCTAACAATGAACACCTTTACTGTAACATACAGTCAATCAATAAACCGTCTTCACCTGCCACCGAAAGCCAAGCAGCAAACCAAACCTCCCAAGATGACAGAAAAGGGCAACAACCAACAGGAAAAACAGAACCCAACAATGAACACCTTTACTTATATAGCATACGATCAATCAATAAACCGTCTTCACTCGCCACCGAAAGCCAAGCAGCAAACCAAACCTCCCAAGATGACAGAAGAGGGCAACAACCAACAGGAAATAGTAATACGATGCTTCGGCGTGTGTTATCTGCTATGATAGCGGTTTTGGCCTTAGTCTTCCTGGCCATGCTTGCTTCATTGATAGCATTGAAGTGGGAACTCGTAAAGTCACGTGGAACAAACGGTAATGTTTTAGATAGATATGGAATGATTTTCAGTAACAGTGGAAGGCCTAAAGCTATTCGAAATCGGAGTCCCTATTTGGCTAATTTTTGATATTATATACTCTTGAAATGGTCTCCCAAATATTGTATTGATATTTTGAGGTGCGAATTCTCTTTACTTTGAAAGATTGTGGGGAGTCCTTGAGGGGCCGCCATTGGTGAATGAAAGCGTTCACTTAAAATTGAAGATATTGATAGTCTTAGCCTGTAATAAAAAGATCGTTTCGGTGAGTAAAAGCTAGTAAAATACGGAACTATGTTTTTCGGTCTATAATTAGTCCAATTATCTAGGGCTGATTTAAACACATGGTCTGAACGAGACTTAGCGTGGGTTGAAAAAGGCATTTGATAGGGCTCTTTTTGGTTTAAATTGTGCTCAAATGGCTCCAGGAGAGGCTGAATCAGCAGACTTGGGCCTGTGTGGGTGAATTGGTACTTTGGGGCTGAAACAGATCTTTTTTTGATTAACAGTGTTTTCAAGACATTAATTAAGGTTGATTCTTATATCAAAATAATATATATTTTAAAACCGTTGTTCCAGATTGATCCGATCATCTTGCACTTTATTTTATTGCACACAGAGAAGAGTATTGGCCATCATTCCTTTTCAAAACAAAAATCCGCACGTTTAATCAATCAATTCATTCATTCATTTGTTAATTCGTTAATTAACATAGTAAGTGGGGTGGACCGGACATCTGAAGTGATATCTAGTTCTTTCTAGAATGGATCTAGTGATATCAATAAATTTTATTACCTTGTTTAGGACAAAGGATAAAACGCAGCAAAGCCGGGGCGACGGTACTCCTGGGGATTCTTGGTGGGGGTGCGCCGTCAGTTTCCTCAAATCCCGACCCTACTTCAGACCAAAAAATGTAATTTTCCACAGCCGTTTTCAGACCTGGGCTTTAGGCAGAAATTATGCCATTACTTACATTAGAGCGCAAAGAAAAAAAATTCTTCAAACTTATTTCGAAACGCATATTTTTCTCTTTCTTTCTTACTCATTTGAAATGGAAGCAATTGATTTTTCATACATTCCCGTAGTTCCCTCAAAAACCATACCCGATTCCAGACTAAAATGGGCGAAGTGTATACAAGTTTTCAGAGCAAAACAGCGCAAAAACCCTACCCGATGGGGCGGCACATACCTATTTGGCTTACATAAGGGAGTACCCCCCGGGAATAGAAGAAATTGACGTTATAGTCATTGCTTTTGTTTACTTGGAGTACAAACAAAATTCATCCACCAATCAAATTAATCATGCAGGTAATACTCTTCAGACAGACTCACACGAAATTTTATACCCTGTTTAGGACAGAGAGGTCAAAAACCATACCCTGACCAGCGGCACATCCCTGTACAGGCCATATAAAGGAGTACCCCCTTGGTATCATTTACGAGTTGGGTGATTTTTGACCCCGCCTATCAGTATCCCTGTGGCTACACGCTGAAACAACGCTGATCGGACCTGCCTTCTATTGTAGTTATGAGTACTTATCAAGTCGCGTCTTATTAACTTTGGAGTTGTTTCAAGAACCGCGTTACCTTTCTAAGGTTTTTGAATAGTCCAAAGGGGGTTAGTGCCAGCACTGTTTGAGAATCAAAGAATATTCATACACATACTTTCACGATATTGCCAACCTATATTGGGCATAGGCATATAAAGTGACGGCAATAAGGCAGAGTCACCGCCGGAAAAAAGGCCAGGAAACCGAAAGGCCTGGGGCGAGGTTGTGTTAGCTCAGCTGTTTTGGTAGAAAATCCTTCAATGACAAGGACCGAGACCAGGTTTTATGAGCCCGCTAGACTGAGCACCCCACCCAAACCTTTGCTTTCACTAAAACCGCTGGACGTCACATCCTAGTCACCCGATTCAGGTCGTTGTTATCTAAGGTCTTTCGTTTTGGTAGCGCTGTTGAAAATGGCGGAAATCACAGTTCTTATGTGTGAACAGAACTCCTTATCTGGAATGGTTGTCGTGTCGGCGCAAAAGCTATCCGGTATCAGCGGTAAAATGTGAAGATAGCCTCAGGCTATTTATTATGGGCCAATCATCTCATTTCCAAAGCGCTTTTGAGGAATAATTATTCATTATATGTCTCTTATCGAATTGGAATTTGAAAAGTCCAGTCCAGTTAAATAATTAAAATCAAATTAATGCTTTATAATTTGTCATTTATCAATTACGCAGGTGATCTTGATGACATACAACAACAGCTGAAAAACGTGGAGAGAAACATTTCTCTTTTAGCTGACCAAAATTTTGTTAATAAGATGGTCGCGAAGATCATAGATCAAGTATCATCAAATCAAACTGAAGGGCGCAGATTGCTTGAAACGAAGATAGAAAATCAGACCCTGGAGTTAAATCAAATTAATTGCGCAGGTAATACCCTTCAGACATACTCACACAGAATTATATACCTTGTTTAGGACAGAGAGGTCAAAAACCATACCCTGTCCAGCGGCACATCCCTGTATAGAAGGGAGTACCCCTGGGTATTATTTATGAGTTGGGTGATATTTGACCCCGCCTATCGTTATCTCTGTGGCTATCACAAGCTGAATTAACACTGACCGGACCT